ACCTCCTGGGGGGGTTGTGGGACCCCAGGGTGGGCTCAGAACCCTCAGGGAGAGGGTTTGGAATTCCAGAGGGGGTTTGGAACGCTGGGAGGGGCTTTGTGTGACCCCTTTGGTGGTGGTGGAGGGGGGGTCGGGGGGTTGGAATTGGGGCAGTTTTGGGGATGGGAGGCCTGGAATTGCCGTTCCCAACGGGATTTGGTCCCCCCCAGGCTGCTCGTTCCGGAGGAAGCAGCACTGAGGATCCCGGGATGCCGACGGAGATGGGAATTCCGCCCGGTCCCTGCAGCCCCTCCCGCCTCCCACCAATAAATTTTGGATAAAACACCCAAAAACGGGCCCGTGCTGGTTCTTGGCTCTGCAGGGGTGATGGGATTTGGGAATAGGGGGGCTGGGGAAGGAATTCCAGCCCTGGCTGGGGTGGCTTATCCAGGGATTTTGTGACTGGACATCCCTGGAAGTGTCCGAGGCCGGGTGGGAGCTTCCCTGGGGATGATCCATCAGGTCCCCCCTTTCCCAAATTATTCTGTGATTCCTGAGGAATCTTCCCCATTCCATGATTCCTGAGGAACCTTTCCCTTCCCAAACCATCCCACGATTCCCGAGGAATCCCAGCGCAGGCGGTGGGACAAAACCCTCGGACTCCGGAACGGGAATTCCAGGTGGAAAAGCCCTTCCCGGGCCTGGTTTATTGGGAATAACCGGGAATATCCACATCCCCCACACCGCTCCAAGCCCGGCCCCATCCATGTTTTCCCCCCGAAAAGGGAATAAACCGGGATTTTTCCCAGGTTCTGACTCCGGGGCTGGGCGTTCATCCCCCTTTTCCTTGGGAGCCTCATCCCGGATTTTTGGGCTCCTGGAAGGGTGGACCTTCCACCCTCTTTTTCCCCTCCCCCCCCGCGTGTTTTTTGGGGCGCCGGCAGCGAAACCGAAATCAGGGCTTTCGGTTCCTCCTTCCCGCATTTCCTGGCTCGTGATTTTTCTCCCGTGGTGCCTCTGCCGGACATTCCCGGCCGATCCCGCCGATCCCGGAGCCTCATCCCCCTTTGCCGGGAGGGGCTGGAATTCGGAGTCCCCTCCCCTCCTTCCCCCCACCAACCCCCGGCACAGCTTTTTTGAGGTAATTTGAGAGGGTTTTGGGGTGTTTTCACCTCCCCCCTCCCGGAGCGCTTTGAGGAAGTCAAAAAAAACTCCGGGAAAAGCGGCTTTGGATCCGTCCTATCCCGACTCTCCCACCTGGACGGTGGGAGAAAAACTGGGAATTCGCGGGGGGGGTGTTATATTTTTTATTTTAGGGACAGGTTTGTCCCGGGAGGGTCCCCCGCGGGGCGGGGCGGCTCCCACAAAGGGGTTGGCTCCGGGATTGTCCCCCCCAGGGGATCCAGGGAATTTCGGGATGCGTGTCCGGGCGGGTCGGGATGTTGACACCTCCCTTGTCCAGACGGGATCGGTCACCCAGGGGTCATTCCCGGCTCCGGGATCGGTCACCCAGGGGTCATTCCCGGCTCCCGGGTCATTCCCTGCTCCCGGATCCATCACCCAGGGGTCATTCCCTGCTCCCAGCCCTCCCATCCCGCTCCTCATCCCGGGATGGAGCCCTTGGCTCCCGTCGCCTTCCTGGCCCTGCTGGGGGTGGCTCTGGGACATCCCGACCCCGCCCTGGATCGGCACTGGGAGCTCTGGAAAAAAACCTACGGCAAGGAATATCGGCACCAGGTGGGGAGAAACGGCCCGGGAATGACGGCTGGGGGTGTCCTGGGAATGTTTGGGGGGTCCAGGGGGGTCCTGGGAATGTTCTGGGGGGTCCAGGGTTGTCCCAGGGGTGTCCTGGGAATGTCCCAGGGGTGTTCTGGGCCCGTCTTGGGGGTGTCCCGAGGTTTCCCAGGGGTCCAGGGGTACCCTGGAAGTGTCCCAGGCCTGTTCCAGGTGTATCCCAGGTTTTCCAAGGGGTGTCCCCCCCACCCAGGGGAAGATCCAGGTGCTCCCCAGGGATGATCCCACTGGGATTCCCTTTACTGGGCCGGCTCCTGGCAGGATGGGGGGTTTGGAGGGGGCTGTCCCAGGGCCTCAGGAAGCCCCTCTGGAATTCCAGGAGGAGGATTCGCTCCGTCGGGCGACCTGGGAGAAGAACCTGCGGCTGGTGACGCTCCACAACCTGGAGCATTCCCTGGGAATCCACTCCTACACCCTGGGAATGAACCACCTGGGGGACATGGTGGGTGCAGGGGCTGCCTCCGGAATTCCCAGGGAGGGGGAGGGTTTCCTGGGATACCAGGAAAGAACTCCCTGAGGTGGGATTCCAGGGATTTAGGGGTGGGGGGAAGCTGGATTGGAGCTCCATTTTCCCAGGGGAAATCACCCCTAAAAACCCAAGGATTTCAGGATTCCCCAGCTCTCCCAGCTCGGGATTCCCAATCCCCCAATCGGGAGGGATTCCTGGAGGGTGGGAATCACCAGCTGGAATTTTTTTTTCCCAGACCAGTGAGGAGGTGGCGGCCTCGCTGACGGGGCTGAGGGTGGCCCCTCATCCCAGGGGGGTCTCGGCATTCCCGCCCCGGCCCCTCGGGGACGTCCCGGAGGAGATGGATTGGCGGGAGAAGGGATGTGTCACCGAGGTCAAGAACCAGGTGAGCCCCTCCTGGGGAGCCTCCTGGAGTTCCCAGATCCTGAACCTTGTCCTGGAGTTCCCAGATCCTGAACCTTGTCCTAGAGTTCCCAGATCCTGAACCTTGTCCTGGAGTTCCCAGATCCTGAACCTTCTCCTGGAGTTCCCAGATCCTGAACCTTCTCCTGGAGTTCCCAGATCCTGAACCTTCTCCTGGAGTTCCCAGATCCTGAATCTTCTACAGGAGTTCCCAGATCCTGAACCTTCTCCAGATCCTGAACCTTCTCCATTCCCAGATCCTGAATCTTCTCCAGGAGTTCCCAGATCCTGAACCTTCTCCCAGATCCTGAACCTTCCCCTGGAGTTCCAGATCCTGAATCTTCTCCAGATCCTGAATCTTCTCCAGATCCTGAACCTTCTCCATTCCCAGATCCTGAATCTTCTCCAGATTACACCAGATCCTGAATCTTCTCCCAGACCCCAAACCTTCTCCCTGATCCCGATCCCTCCCCAGGAATCCCCCGGGATCACCCCCTGACCCCTCCCCGTGCCTCCCCCAGGGCGCCTGTGGCTCCTGCTGGGCCTTCAGCGCGGTGGGAGCGCTGGAAGCGCAGGTGAAGCTGAAAACCGGGAATTTGGTGTCCCTGAGCGCCCAGAACCTGGTGGATTGCTCCGGGATGTACGGGAACAAGGGCTGCTCGGGGGGCTTCATGACCGAGGCCTTCCAGTACATCATCGACAACCACGGCATCGAGTCCGAGCAGTCCTACCCCTACACGGCCCAGGTGGGAAGGGCGGCATTCCCGGGAATCCCCCCCCTGCCTGTGGGCCCCGCTTCCCTTTGGCTCCAAAGCCTTCCAAAGGGGAAGTTTGGGAGTGTTTGGAGCGGGAGCTGGAATTCCCTGCCGGGCTGTTGCGCCATTTCTTGGGCGAGGAGCCGGAGGGGAGGGGAAGAAGTGGGTCAGGAGGCTCCGGAAAACACAATCCAGGGAATGTGGGTCAGAGCAGAGACTCGGCCCAAGGGAAATGTGGGGTTTGACTCCCCCCAGGTGTGGAGAGGTGGGGGGGAAAAGCTGCTGTTCCCGCTGTCCAGAGGGAATGGGAAGAGGCTGTGGATGGGGAGGGTGAGGATGGAGCTCCAGGGAAGGGGTTGGATGAGGATGGAGTTCCAGGGAATGGGTTGGATAAAGGTGGAGCTCCAGGGAATGGGTTGGATAAGGATGAAGCTCCAGGGAAGGGGTTGGATAAGAATGGAGCTCCAGGGAAGGGCTTGGATAAGGATGGAGCTCCAGGGAATGGTTTGGATAAGGATGGAGCTCCAGGGAATGGTTTGGATGAGGATGGAGCTCCAGGGAATGGTTTGGATGAGGATGGAGCTCCAAGGAAATGTTTGGATGAGGATGGAGCTCCAAGGAAATGTTTGGATGAGGATGGAGCCTTGTCCTGGTTCCACTTGGCGTCGGGAGGGCAAACCCAACCCCAGGGAAACGCTGGGAATGTCGGGGTTGTTTTTTAGGGGGTAAAAACACCGGGATCAGCTCACCCACCAATCCCAAAAAATCACCCGAGGTGGGGCAGGGGGGTAAACCCCAGAACCTGAGGGGGGGGTTCCCTCATTCCCGGTATAATTCCCGGAATTCCCGGCAGAACGGGACGTGCCGCTACAACGCCTCAGCCAGCGCCGCCTCCTGCTCCCGCTACGTGGAGCTGCCCTCGGGGGACGAGGCCGCCCTCAGGGACGCCGTGGCCACTGCCGGGCCCGTGGCCGTGGCCATCGACGCCACCCGGCCCACCTTCTTCCTGTACCACGCCGGTGAG